GACGAAGGTATCGGAAGAAGGACGGTGATTTGCGCTATGAGTGGCGATCCAGCTTGCGCCATGGTTTGCGACAGCCACTCCAACACAGGTTAACAATCAGTTTCGCCATGGGTCGCGCGATAAACCGCGCCACCTACCACCCTCTTGAAATGACATATCGTGGATACCCCCAGGGGGGACCCGTACAGCTGCGAACTGGTGTCAAAAAACCTATTTCGTGGAACCCTGAAAAGGAGCGGGATGTTGGGAAAGTGGGGCGGGAGGACAGAAAGAACTGCAAAGGTGTCGAGAGGAACGTGGATGCCCAAAGTGAGAGCGCGATTCTTCAATACATTGTGAGGAAGTATCAAGCGGGAGCCGCGACACGGTGGTAAATTGCAAGGATGTCCCAAGTGAGAGCGCGATTCTTCCATAAATTATCAGGAAATATCAGGCGGGAGCCGCTGTTGTTGTGAACCGGGGGCCAAGGACACAGTTTGACCCTCAAGACTTTCCCTGAGAATCCCAGGGTGCGAGCCCCGGGAAGGGCACTTCAATCGAAAAACAGTGCACCAGACGGGGGGATCAACTAGAACAATTCTTCCGAAATGAGAGTTCAACAACAACAGCAACAACAGCAACAACAGCAACAACAACTACAACAACAACAACAACAACAACAATAACAACCACTTTACCCGAACGCTCAGTGTTCTTACCAGTGCCAGGGTTTTCATGCGACGCCAGCCAATACCCCCACTTTGTGGGGGGGCAGTGCAAGCTCTACCAAATATCCACACGACTCTTCGCCGCCACCCACACCCAGCTTCCCGCCCTATGACGTTCGGACACTTCACTTCGTGGCCTGCGGACGACCGTGGCTACTACACTGGCGTGGAGTACACACCCACAGAAGTTGTTAAGCCTACGTTCGTACACCCACAGAAGTTGTTAAGCCTTGTTAACCCACAGAAGTTGTTAAGCCTTCCACAGAACATCTGTTGCATATGATGCATATGGTACATGATACACATGATACACATGATACGTACTCACAAGATAGTTGATCACATCTTTAGGGCAAATTCCTGAGGGATGTGGGAATACACAAGAGAGAGAGGATATGGTTGTCCCGATGGTTGTCTCGATGGTTGTCCCGATGGTTGTCCTGATGGTTGTGGTTGTCCCGATCGTTGTCCCGATGATTGTCCCGATGGTTGTCCTGATGGTTGTGCTTGTCCCGATCTGTCCCGATGATTGTCCCGATGGTTGTCCCGATGGTTGTTCCGATGGTTGTCCCGATGGTTGTCCCGATGGTTGTGAGCGATGCCGGATCCTCACGCCCCCCGCCGGAGGAGGAGGAGGAGGAGGAGCAGGACAAGGAGGAAAGGAGAGAAGAGAGAGGAGGGGCGGGAACGGCGCTTGCACGCCCACCCACCGTCTTTTCCCCGCCGCGGCTCTAAAGAGACGAGTTCGTGTGCTCGTCATCTTCTGGCATACGCCCGTCCCTGATGGCACGGATGGGGCGCAATGCTGCCAGCTGGGCTCCTGGCAGAAATACATCAGGGGCCAAGTGTCCAAGCATGGTGCCGATACGCCTCCTCACGGATACATCGCCCGTGCGTGCGAGGGGCGCCAATACCGCCAGGACGCCCTGGACATGCGCCGGCATACGCAGATCCACCTGGTAATCCGCGCGCGCGGGTAGAAATTTTGAAAAGTCGTGCAGGTGTTTTTCGAGGACCTACGGTGCGATTCGTGTGATTTTATGATGCGCGGTGCTAAAATTCTTAAGAAGCCCAATGGTTTTTGGAGATTTCGGCGTGCGCGCGCGAAGAAAAAACGAATGTGTCCCGCATGGTATTATTTGACAGGGATGATGGCCCTGGCAGGTGCGCAACCGTTGTTGCAGAAGTTCGAAAAAGTTGCGCGGGATGAGATTTTGACATTTTTTGTTGAAAAACCATTGGTTTTTTGATGTTTTTATGTTAAAATCGCTGCGAAAACTAAGGTTTTGGAAGGATTTCGTCTTGCGCGCGCGAATGTCCACTTTACCTTATTTTTTGCAAGGGATTCTTGAAATTTGATTATATTAGAACAAGAAATGTCATTTTCTATTGTTTTTTGCAAGGGAAAGCGGATTACAACAAAACAACCGGATCCTGTACACACCCTCTTTTCTGAGGCTTCCTCACGAAAATGATGAAAATGTAGCTGCGGCCTAGGCGGCGCAGGGGGGGCGCGCACCAGGGGGCCCAACAATAATTATTCTTTAGAATAAATAATGTTCAACAACAACAATCATTTTAAGACTGTTCGCCCTTATCTGCTCGAGTGTCCAATAACGCGTATTTCCCAAACCCTCGTACCCGCCCTCTTCGTCTTCGATCGAACCCCCTTTTGGGGGGTATACCTTTCTTCCCTGCAGGCCGGGCCCCGGCAAGCGGCGGGGCGGCCGCGGACCGTCGGCCTGGCCAGCGGCAGCGCTGATCGGCGGGGCGGCCGCGGACCGTCGACCCGACCCCAAGAGGGACGGACAGGGGACCGACACGACGACGACGACGACGACGTCGACGACGACGACGACGGCGACGACCGCGACGACGACGAGCGAAAGCGAGAGCGAGAGAGAACGACAGCAGGGCCACGAAGGACACGAAGTAGGCCACGAAGGGCGACAGCGGGGACACGAAGGGAATGCGTATGGGGCCACGAAGAGCGCGAACGAGCGGGGGCCACGAAAGGCAGATAATGCGGGGCCACAGAAGGCAACGATGGGGCCACTGAAGGTAGCAATTGGGCCACGTAGGACAGTGAGGGGGCCACACACGGCGACAGCGGGGCCACGAAGGGCATGCACATGGGGCCAAAACCGGCGCGAACGAGCGGGGGCCACGAAGGGCATACGTATATTGGGCCGCGGAGGGCAAGAACGGACCCACTGAGGCCAGCAACGGGGCCATGAAGGGCAGCGAGGGGGCCACGAAGGGCGACAGCGGGGCCACGAAGGGCATGCATATGGGGCAACCACGGGCAGGAACGAGCGGGGGCCACGAAGGGCATACATATATAGGGCCACGAAGGGCAACGAGGGGGCCACGAAGGGCCGCAACGGGGCCACGAAGGGCAGCGAGGGGGCCACGAAGGGTTGCAACGGGGCCACGAAGGGCTGCGACGGGGCCACGAAGGGCAGCGAGGGGGCCACGAAGGGTTGCAACGGGGCCACGAAACAAAGCGAGCGGGCCACGAAGGGCAGCGAGGAGGCCACGAGGGACTGCAACGGGGCCACGAAGGGCAGCGAAGGGGCCACGAAGGGCTGCAGCGGAGCCACGAAACAAAGCGAGGGGGCCACGAGGGGCTGCAACGGAGCCACGAAGGGCAGCGTGATCCTAGGTAATCTGTATAAGGAATCCTAAGCGTGAGCGCAACTCCTGGGTGCCTGGGTGTCGGGAGCGCGGCGCTTGAGTAAATTGCAAGAAAATCCAACGCAAGGGCGCTGTTCTATGGTAAATTGCAAGCAAGTCTCCAGCGAAAGCGCGACTCCAAGCGCCGGGAGAGCGATTCCTGAATAAATTGTAAGGAAGTGCCAAGCGAGAGCGCGATTCCTGAATCAAATGCGAGGAAGTCTCGGGCGGGAGTGGGGATCCTGGCTAAATTGTGAGGAAGTCTCAGGCGGGAGCCGTTGTTGTAGTCCGGGGGGCAGGGGGCCAGTTTGAGCAGGAAGACTTTCTTTGACAAAAAACAAAGTGCGAGCCCCGTGGGAGGCACATCAATTGAAAAAAACAATGTGCACCAGTGAGGGGGGATCAACAATAATTTTTCTTCAAGAATGGGAATTCAACAACAACAACAACAACAACAACAACAACAACAACAACAACAACAATAACAGCAGCAACAACAACGACAACAACAACAACAGCAACAGCAACAGCAACAGCAACAGCAACAACAACAACAACAACAACAACAGCTACAGCAACAGCAACAGCAACAGCAATAACAACGACGGCGGATTCCACGGCGCGGAAGAGACCGACGATGGCAACCTAGGGGAGAGCACCCAGTGCGTTGTGCCACGAGTATGTGCCTCAGGTGCGTAGTTACATCTACGCGCGAACTCCATTTACACAGGAGCACCACCAACTAGAAACTCAGCACAGATACGCACCATGCTTGCACATCCCACACTCGGCTTGACTGTAAAATGGGCACACGCAATTTGGAAGGAGGGAGAAGGGCGGAAGCGGAGAGGCGAAGGCGGCGGAGGCGCAAATGACAATGAACAAATGACAGAAAGAAATTGAGGCGAGGAAGAAAGACGTGCCTTTCCACCAGCGGCGGTACGGAAAACGTCGGCGGATCCTCCCGCCCACTCCACTGCATATCTGTCATTGCAAAGCAAGCTGGCCGAATCCAGGTGCGATGACCAGAGAATAGAGCAACAAGGAAAAGAAACGTCACAAAATTAGATCGATGCCCTCCCCTGTCTCCTTCCCCCGGATCACAATACCGCCACCCCCCCGGGGTCCTGGCGGGTCCCGGGGGGGTCTCGGGGGGCGTCGCCAGCGGGGGTCCTGGGGGAGGTCCGGCCTTCAGGGTCGGCGGCAAACCAGCCGTGAGGCCTTCACCAAAGATCAGATACACCGCATACAGTCAGCGTGCTGCCATGAGGAATACACAATCGGGGAAACCAAGCAGATTCTTAGGCCACGGCAAGCGCCCGTCACGAAGACGTTCCCCGATCTACATCTCAAGAACGGCCCGAAACACAGAGCCTCTCCTGAGCCCGAAGTGGCAGGCATCATATGAGCTTTCGGAGGATCGCGCGAGGGGGGTCCAGCGTCGATCCAGGAAATCAAGTCGAATCCCCGCACGCGTATGTTTGCGACGTTTCTTCTCCTCCGAGGCCTGCCTAACTTAGCACGGGGGAGACGGTTCCTGAGGGAAACGGGATCTTCCCCCAGGGCAAGTCCTGGGGCCCGCGGAGGGTCCCGAGAGCTCGAAAACGGCGACAAACCTCAAGACCCGCTTCCCTCAGAACCCGTTTCCCGAATGGCGACTACATCGTACTTGCTGTCCTTCTTCTTCAGGATCGACATCTTCATCGCCGCGCTCGCCGGCCACTCGTCCCGCCGCAGCGCCTCTTGGCCGACCGCACGGTCGGCTGCAGCTGGCAGATCAGCCCAGGGTGGGACCGGATCAAGGGTATGTTTGAGAGGATGCGCGCCTCGGCTGCCGTTGGCCCCTGGCCCCCTTCTGAGCAGCGTTTAACCAGCCCCGTCTCCCCATTGGCGTTGGCTGGGCCCCACTGACCGATTCACACCCCCAGATGAGGACATGGGATGTTCCCTCCAGGTTTCGAGGGGTATATGCCCAAACGGGGTGGTGAAATTGTGAAGCTATAGATGCGGTCAGGGGTCGGTTGAATGATCCTGACTTTCCATTTCTCTCTTTGTGCAATTATCCTGCAGCGGCATGAAGCTCATAAGTAGCACCGTATCGACCGAAACACATGAGATATCGACACCTTGGTAGCGATTCCCCGGCAACTTGCGTCGTCTGCGCGCCCTGCTCGGGGCATCTCGGGGCTGCATGCCAGCACCCCTCCCACTCCCTCCATCCCGCCACCTACCCACCGGCGGCAACGCGGCCCTCCTCAAAAACAGCCCCGGCAACAATCAGGTCTGACTACCTACCAGACCACCCCAACCCAACCCGAAGACCCGAATTTGACCCGAATTTCGGGTTGGGGGGGGTACGGGTTCCATATGTGTTTTCTCGATGTTCCCCGACCCCCCCCAACTAGAAATGGAGGGCAAACTGAGGCCTTCGGGTTGGGTTGGGATGGTTTGGTAGGTGGTGACCTGCCCACCGGCTGCAACGCGGCCCTCCTCGAAAACAGCCCCGGCAGCAATCAGGTCAGAATCCTCCGCCGTGGTCCGGGCTTCACTCCCCCCCGGGTCACAAGACGCACTCCGAAGGGGAGTCCGCGGTGCCCGCAGGGGGGCAGTCCTCCTCCTCCTCCTCCTCCTCCTCCTCCTCCTCCTCCTCCTCCTCCTCCTCCTCCTCCTCCTCCTCCTCTGCTCGCCTGGATCCTCCTCCACCCTCCTTCTCTCCCTCCCCCGCCTGCGCAGCAGGCTCCTCCTGAGCCGTCATGGCCGCCTCCTCTTCATCATCCGCCTCCTCCGCTTCTGCTCCAAGGATGGAGGTGTTGAGGGGGGTGGCCGCGGGGCGCCCCCCCAGCCGACGATCCGAGATTCCCGCCGGCCCTTTGGGCGCAGGTGGTGTGGAGTGTGCTGCTTTCTCTCTGCTGAGAGCACTCCTCCCCTGCGCGGGGGAGGGGCACCCCCAAGGGAACTTCCAAGCAAGGGCCCCAAGACTCCCCAAAAGAGCTCCGACGGGTCCCCAACTCCGCGAAAACCCACGGAGAGACTCGAGATGGCTCCAGACACACATCCAAGGCGGTTGTTACACTGCATGCTTCTACACTTTCCTGACCAAGGTAACTCGCCAAGCGAAATGTTTCTGAATGGGCTTGGAGGAATACGCGAAGCGTCAGGAACAATTCACGGAGAGTTCGTGCGCCTGGTCTCGCCGAAGATAGAGCGTCAACGCCACGTTTCCAAAGAGAGCACGTCATAACCACCTGCTGCTGATAAAAAAAGACCCCCCCTTAACACGCTAGAGTTGATTATCCACGGCCAATAAGAGTTTGGTCAGGGGCGCGGGGCGCGGAGGCCGAACTTCTATCACTGTGAAAAATTCGCCATCGAGGTAAACTTCCTTCTTATATTGAGATAGCAACATCAAACGAAGCGAAGACGTTGTCGAGGATGTCTCATGCGAAACCAACAGCGTTCTCTTTATCTCTCTATCTCTCTTCTGCCTGCTCTTCTCTTTCTCTTTCCGCTTCCTCTCCCCCTCTGCCCCCCCCCCCCTGAACTTGTTGTTATCGCTGTGGTTTACTATCCACGAAAACCGAGGCGCATGAGCTACCCTACACGAGAAGATGGAAATCGAAATTTCCATTGCTTGATTACACATTAAAATGAATAGGTTTGGAACGTTGGCGTTTGTTCTCCTCCTCCTCCTCCACCTCTCTCCTTCTGTCTGTCTATATTTCTCTACTTCTCTCTCTCTTTCTCTCTCTCTCTCTCTTTCTAATTATCTGTATATTTCTGTCTCTGTCTCTCTCTGTCTTCCTCCTTCTTCCCCTGGCACCCTGAACTTTTTTATCGCAGTGGTTTACCATCCACGGAAACCGAGGCACATGAGCTACCCTACACGAGCAAGGATGTCTCAAGGGAAACAAAACGATCCTCGATCCTCGGACCTCGCCGCCGTCGATCCTCGGACCTCGATCCTCGACTCTGGGATCTCGATCCTCGATCCTCGGACTTCGCTTCTCGATCCTCGATCCTCGGCTTTCGGTCCTCTTAACATCACCTCTTTCTCCTCCAACATGCTGGCCTCCGGTAGGCAATATTTATCATCCCCCCGCAACCCCGAACTTTGTTATCCCTGTGGCATTAATCTCGGTGGTACACGGTTAATTGATGGCTGTAGGAAGACATAACCAAGCCAACAACAAAAGAACGTGGTAGCCGCAGCCCGGTAGAAAACAGAGGGCACATGACGACGCATGATGACGCACTGGTTACGACAAGCGTTCCAAGGTCAGCGCCAAGAATCTGGGAAACATCCGCCCCCGCGTGCGATGAGCCAGAAACGGACGTTGCCAACAGACGGAGGAAATGCCCAGCGACCTGCGACTGGCAGATACTCTTGCGGCGAGGGCGAGCAAAACTACACACGACAACGAAGACAACGAGGACGCCGACAACCACGCCGACGGCGTCAGGGACTTCCGACGACAACGAAGACGACGACGGCGGCGTCGACGGCCCAGCCCTGAGGCTGGCCCCGGGACAACCCGCAGCGCCCGCCTCGCCCGTGCACGGGCAGAAGTAGGTGGGGCCCATGTCCGCGGTCACGTCCAGGAGCGCAGTGTGGACCTCCCGCGGTGATGCTGCTGCTGCTGCTGCTGCTGCTGCTGCTCCTCCTGAACCGAGCCGGTGCGAACACTCAAATGCGTCGAGGCGCTGCTCTCTACTTCCCCCCCCCCACACTGGCCCTCGCCGCTGGCGAGGGCGGGAAGAATGCTAGGAAATAGGCGGATCCGACCTCCTCCTCATCCTCCTCCTCCTCCTCCTCCTCCTCCTCCTCCTCGTCTTCCTCCTCCTCCTCCTCGCTAGCTCGCTGCGTGTGGCTTGACATTGGGTCGGACGAGGAGAGCGGGTAGAAAAGCGGGGGCCAAAACAGCTCACCTGAATGGCTGGCTCTTGCCAGCGCCAGAGGCGCCCGGTGTGTGTCGGGAGAAGGGCCTCGCGGCGGAACGGAAGCACGCCGCGTGCAGCAGTAGAGGGACATCAATGGCATAAACATAAATATTCGGAGATCCACCAGATTTCTCCGGGCTCGACCACAACAGCGTTTTCGTTCTTGTTCAAAACAGTGTGTGTTTCGCTGTTCGTTGTGTTTTCGCTTTCCCTCGATCTGTCTTCGTTTCACCTCTGCTGCAACACAACATCGAAACGAACACGGTCCACGGAATCGCCAAAACACCGATTAGGTCGAGTCCTAAGATTTCTTGGGTCGGTGCGCGACTCCCTTCCTGGCGCGCGGAGCGCGCAAGGGGCGGCACCGGAAACGCCGCGGTCCCAGCGCCAGTCCAGGAGATCCGCACTGACCTCCGAAAATTCAAAGATTGTAAAAGCACCATAGGTATTCTTTGAACCAAATTTCACCTACTCGCCCGACCTGAAGCAGGCTGGAGCCCGCGCGCCAGAAGGATGGAAAAAACACAGGGGCGCACCGCTCAGACGACTGACCTCGAGGTGCTCTCACGACCAGGGACCCCAGGAGGTCTCAACCTCTGACCAAGCACAGTTCCATCCCGAAACGAGCGTTCAGGGCCCCAGGGACAGGCAAGGGCCCCCCCCAGAGTCCGTGAACGGCAAGATGGGGCGACAGAAGCCATGCAGATTCATTGCCCCAGGCGTGACCCACCCTGGGCCTAGGAACTATGTATACGCCCTCCGCGCTGGGCCAGGGAAGCATATACACGGCTTCCGGGCCGAGGACGAGCCAGGCCCTGAAGGGGGATACGCATAGATCTCGATGACCTGCAGGAGCACCCCAGGCGTGCTTTTGACCGAGACGCGAGGGCGTCGGTGGGGAAACCAGAGGGCACCGATACCGCTGCTCCCCGGACCACTCCTGGAGCACGTTCTGGCCAGAATTTCGAAGCGAATCCAGCGGAGGTGAAATCTCCGAGGAGGCCCACACGGGGGAAAACGCGAGACGGGCAGCGGCATCGGTAGCGGCATCGATACAATAGGAGACCGACGACAAGAAACCCCGCACAAGAAACACGCACCTGGGACCTCAGGATGTCCCTTCAGATTTGGTGTGGGAGCGTCACGCTCTCGATCGCAAAACAATCGAAACCCAAGGAACCCAGGGCACCCTGGAGGCAAGCAAGGTGTTCCTTGGCATGGGTTTCTACTGGAGCGGGATCGGTATTTTTCCCTCCTCGGAATCCCGGCGGGTTGTGCGAGCGGGGTCCAAACAAAAAATCCGCCGGCCCCCTTGTGGGGCCACCAGGCTGTAGGAGCGGGATTCGCAGTTTCCTGTACCAGTTGTAGCTTGTAGTTTCCAGTGTTACAGTTCTGCTTCTTGCTGGTTACTGTAACTAGTTGATTGACCGCGCGAGGGGGGGGGAGGCCCAAACCAGATATTTAGCACCTCCTGGGCGCGTTGTCTGAATTGCTGGGGGGGCTCGAAATCGACACCCCTCACACAGATCGGCGGGGTCAGGGTCCAAAAACACATGGGATTTGCCACATTTCTGAAATTCGGTGCCACCCCTCACGCAGATCCGCGGGGTCAGGGTCCAAAAACACAGGGATTTGCCACATTTCTGAAATTCGGTGCCACCCCTCACGCAGATCCGCGGGGTCAGGGTCCAAAAACACATGGGATTTGCCACATTTCTGAAATTCGGTGCCACCCCTCACGCAGATCCGCGGGGTCAGGGTCCAAAAACACATGGGATTTGCCACATTTCTGAAATTCGGTGCCACCCCTCACGCAGATCCGCGGGGTCAGGGTCCAAAAACACATGGGATTTGCCACATTTCTGAAATTCGGTGCCACCCCTCACGCAGATCCGCGGGGTCAGGGTCCAAAAACACATGGGATTTGCCACATTTCTGAAATTCGGTGCCACCCCTCACGCAGATCCGCGGGGTCAGGGTCCGAAAACACATGGGATTTGCTACATTTCTGAAATTCGGCGCCACCCCTTACACAGATCCGCGGGGTCAGGGTCTTAAAACACAGGGGATTTGCTACATTTCCGAAATTCGGTGCGACCCTTCACGCACATCCATCGCAAGGCGTGGTAACCCAAACTGCGAGAACTCCCTCGGCCCTTTCATCGCAAGGTGTGGTAACCAAGCCCGTAAACCATACACGTCTTACCGATCGCCAGGTGTGGTAACCCCTCTTGTGATCAGTTGGCTTTGCTGATTGCGAATCGGCTTCGCATGAAGTTTCGATACTGCTTCACGACAGCGCCGAGGCCTCATGACTTAGCTCTTCCATGGCCCATTTCTCCGAGAGAGGGGGGGCCGGCGGCAGGGGGCGAAGCCCTTGCGGATAAAATATCCCCCGCTGCTCGTCAGCTGGGGCGCGGGCGATTGCTCCGCGTAGGCAAGGCAAACATTGCACCGAGGAGGGGCGGAGTGCGGGCGGCCGCGGAGAGGGGACTGGAGCAGGGCGGGTCGCGCAGGCTGCGGCCCATGCTCCGGGCGAGAGTCGTGCCAGGGGACAGCGGGGAGGCTACGGTGGGACGCCCATGGACATACTAGTACTCTATGTCCTCCTTGGAGGCGCGCGTCCGACCCGAACATATAGTATACCCATCTTGTAGTATATCGTTTCCCGAGCGGTGTGGCCAGGAAGCGCCCGCCACGACGCATATACTATAAGATGTCTCGGTGCGCGCGTCGCCCCTGGGGGGGCGACGCACATACAATATAAGTATGTTGGGGTGTTGCCGATACGGAACCATAGCCAGCCAGGGCAACGGGGGCAGCATCCGAGCGGTGCTCGCGGATCCCGGGCGCTCACTGGGCGAAGAAAGTGCACAGCAAAACCAAACCCTCCAACAGACGAAAACGAGCAAACAGGGCAACGCAGGGAAATCATAGATCTGCCTAGGGCTGCCCCTGCTCGAAGCCAGTGGCAGGAGAGTCCAGAATCGAATCTCGAACTCTGACCGACGAGCGACGAGAACTGGATCGGTCGAAATCGGCAGCCGAATCGGGAAACGTCGACTCGGCGGAACTCGGCAGGCTAGTAATCTACCGTTGGAAAATCGGAAACCAAATCGAATCCGAAATCGGCATCGGGAGCGATCGAAACGTCTTGGAAAATCAAAACGAGCCCGTCGACCCCAGGAGGTCTCGACTCGTTCTCTGGGGCCGATTTCTCGTCTTATGTAGCTGCCTACAACAAGGCCGATGGCCATCTGACAGTCCGTACGCACTGTTGTCTGTAAGTTGTTGTGGGTGGATGTCGACAGCTGCATTCCCATGAATATGCCAATCTAAGCGCCGACTCTCGATGTCAGTCGATGTCTGCCCATATACATGAGTACGGCATATAACTCTGATGTGGTCGAGGTCAACTTCTAAATGTCAGTCGACGTGGAGACGGGCACTCTGGCTTACATCGCGGCGACGTAGGCAAAGCCGCCCTCGCCCCTTATGATGATATCGTCTGCCAATGCGTCTTCGGTTGGCTGGTCTGGCGCGCGCCGTTGGTGCATCAGTGGGCGCGCTCGGTGGTGCCACGCGTCCTTGAAGGCGCTTGTCCCATAGCCATGATGGCTGCAGGGCGAAGGCCCCCTGATCTGCGCAGGTCGGGAGAAGTGGCTGTCGGGTTGGACGGGGAGACGCGCCTGGGCACGTCAGCGATCGGCTCGGTCATTGTAAAAGGTGGAACGCACCACTTCTCTCGCGTGGCGTCGCTCCCTTTCTTTTATTTGTTGTTCCTCTCTCTCTCTCTTTCTCTTTCTTTCTCTGTTTATATCTCTTTCACTCTCTCTCTCTCTCTTTCTTTATTTTTCTCTCTCTCTCTCTCTCTCACTTTCAAACTCAAACTCAAACTCAAACTCCCTCTCTTTCTCTTTCCCAATTCTTTCCTCGAACACTATCTCTCTCTCTCTCTCTCTCTTCCCCTCCCCCTCTATATCTCTGTCATGTTTTTGTTATTTCTCTCTCTCTATATATATTATTTATTTCTCTCTCTCTCTCTCTCTTTTTATCTCCCTCCGCGCGTGGCCCCCCGATGCCGATGCCTCTTGCGCGGAGCGCGGTTGGACATCGGTCCCCCGTCGTGCCAGGCGGGCGCGGTCGCCCATCCGACCTGAAACAAGCGTTGAAACGCTGCCCCCCCCCCCCCACACGGCGGAGACCTTCTGCCATATCTGGTCGGGGCAGGTTGAGCGTTCGACGAGTGGGGGGTCGGTCGCCCGCGTCCTCTGCCGATTCTCGAATACTCAGTCGAAACCGCGCCCCACCCGTGGCCTGCGCCGGTGTAGCGCTGCTCTGTGGCACCGTCGAATTCGGCAGCGTTGGCGACAGTCGCGCGCGCACTGCGTCGCCCTGTCTGCCACCGCCCCGAACGCGGGCGCCGCTCGTTCTGTTGGTCTGTCGGAGCGGCGCCAACGCAGGCCCCATCAGTTTGTCGGGGCTGCGTTGCGCACCCGCCCCCAATATCCTCTCCAGCGGCGGTCGGAGCAAATTATCCCGTCGCGGCGGGCGTCGCCGGTCTGGGTCGGATGCGCATAGCGGCGCCCCAGACTCACCACGCGCGGCGCGGACTGGGGTCCCTGTCCAAAGTCGCGTCGACACCGTCAGATAGAACCCGTTGGGTCTCCACCTGC